TCTTTCCTAACGTCACGGCGCTGGCCCCACCCCTCCGCAGCGCTCGCCTGGTGCTGGGAGGTTAAAACTGTCGCGGTGAGGACGCCGAACCAGGTAAGGGGGCTGGGGTCGCGGAGTGTTGCTACAAGACCCTCTTGTGCCAGCTGCTTGTGCCTGAATAATGGACATTGCCTGTAAAGTGCCCTTGGGCGTGAGGGGCTACCACCGGCACCAAGGGGTGGCATTTTTGGTTTTTAGCAAATGGCCGCCCCTCCCAAACCTGGGATTCTGGACTGACCGAGTCAGCCCTACCTGCACCACTCCAGTCTGGTTCAAGCTGGCTGCTGGGATTGAGCGTAGGTGGCAGGGAGAGTGAGGGTCCCATGGCCCAGGGGTAAAGCGAAGACTGCTCCTATTCCCATCTCCCTGACGGTTTCCCTGCCTCCCCACCCACCTCCACATATTGGTCTCCAGCATCTCATCAGCAATTGGACATTTCTCACCCCTCTTCACTTTGGCTTTCCTGGGTTAGCACTCTGCCCAGTGCTGTGAGGAAGAAACTGCTGTAGGACAGACAGCTGAAAAGTTATCTTGCTTCTCCAGCCCATCTCCTGACACCCTGGCCATTACCTCCTCGGTTTGCTGAGCTCACTAGAATGGCATAGACAAGGTTGGGTGGGGACCACAAGTTGGGGTCCAGTTTCCAGCTGGGTTCAAAAGAAAACTTTTTTTCAGGGTGGTTGGGGGGAGAGTAGGGACTGAAAGACCTTCAAAGACAATGTTATTACTTGTTTACTCTTCATATCAGCTCTGCTAGATAAATCTCATCTCACAGATGAGGATGCAAGTTAAGAGAGGCTTGGTATCTTGTCCAGGGAACAGGGCTGGTTGATGGCAAGGCCCAGTTTCTCAAACCCAAGGCAGTTTGCCTCCAGAATTGGGCTACTTCACCTCATTAGTCTGCTACTACCTTTTTCACCTTTTTGTCCTTGTTTAAGTCAGTCTGACCCTCAGTTGTCTTCTACTGACTTGAGAAATAATAAATGGGCAAACTGGACAGTAGACATTTGGCTTCTGCCTTTTAGGCCCTTGGCCCCATTGTTCTCTATAGTGGACAAAGCAGAGTGGAGGATGGAAGATAGGTGATTCTAGAAGCACCTGTCTCCCACCCCTTTCCATTCTCTTCCATCCTGTCAGCACCGTCTTTGTCTTTGAAGTGCTCCAAGTTTTCACCAAGAGCCCATTTGGACCCTCACTCTCATGTCTCCCATTTGCTCAGAAAGCTGCTCGCTGACCTTCTCTATGTCTTCTCACCCATTCCCTCAGGGCTTCCTAATATCCTCTCTTAGGGGTCTCCCTGTCTGATCCTGGAATCTTCCTCCTACAGGTCTCCACAATGTTGCTGCTGCACAGAGCTGTGGTCCCAGGGCTCCGTCAGACCTATAGGTAGGCATCCCATCCCAGGACTTGCCTCCTAGCTCCCCACCTCAGTAGCTTTATGATGTTTTATCCTTTTTTTTTTTTTTTTTTTGGCAGCTGGCCAGTACATATGATATCTTATCTGCCAGATAAGATAGTGGAGAGGGTGGCCAAGGAGTAAAGGGAAAGCTGGATCCTATTTGTCACACCCATCCCTGGAGAAACTAAGTTCCAACTGAAAGAACAAATGGCCAACCAGGGAGAGGTAGACCCCAGGCCTTCACTGGCCCTTTCATATGACCATATGTGCTACTAAGAAGACCTTTCTCTCTCTTCCAGACTCAGGTCAACCTCCTCAAGGCTCTGCATTCAGGCCTCCTCTACAAATGATTCATTTCAGCCCCAGCACCTCAGCCTCACCATTTCTGGTGATAATTCCACCACTGGGAGATGGAGAGTCATGGGGGCCCTGCTAGGCCTCGGTGCAGTGTTGGCCTATCATGACCATCGGTATACAGTAAGTGGGGAAGGGGTTTTACTGTCAGAACAGAGGGGTCCTAGTGAGCTCTCCAGGCAACCCAGGCTGTGACCCATGTTCTTGCTGTTACCAGAGAGCCTGCGATGACAATGTCATCATGTACACTGAAGGTGGAATCTGCCACCTTCAGTTCCCATTGTCAAGATTGTGAGTCGGGTTGGGGTAAACTAGGGTGATTTCTTCTTAATATTCTGTTCCCTTTTTGCCTCATCCCTCTCCTGCCTGCAGGTGGCTCAGGAGTCACCACCCATGTACACTAAGGAGGAAGTAAGCTCCCACAGAAGCCCTGAGACTGGGATCTGGGTGACTCTGGGCAGTGAGGTCTTTGATGTCACAGAATTTGTGGATCTACACCCAGGGGGGCCATCAAAGCTGATGCTGGCAGCTGGGGGTCCCCTAGAGCCCTTCTGGGCCCTCTATGCTGTTCACAACCAGTCCCACGTACGTGAGTTACTGGCTCAGTACAAGATTGGGGAGCTGAACCCTGAAGACCAGGTGCCCCCCACCTTGGAGAACTCTGACCCTTACGCTGATGATCCTGTGCGTCACCCAGCCCTGAAGGTCAATTCCCAGCGCCCCTTTAATGCAGAGCCCCCCCCTGAGCTGCTGACAGAAAACTACATCACACCCAACCCTATCTTCTTCACACGGAACCATCTGCCTGTACCTAACCTGGACCCAGACACCTATCGCTTGCACGTAGTAGGGGCACCTGGGGGTCAGTCACTGTCCCTGTCTCTGAATGACTTGTACAAGTTTCCCAAGCATGAGATCACAGTCACTCTGCAGTGTGCCGGCAACCGGCGCTCTGAGATGAGTCGGGTCAAAGAAGTAAAAGGTCTGGAGTGGAGGACTGGGGCCATCAGCACTGCACGCTGGGCTGGGGCACGGCTCTGTGATGTGTTAGCACAGGCTGGTCACCAACTCTGTGAAACTGAGTCTCACGTTTGCTTTGAGGGACTGGACTCAGACCCCACTGGGACTGCTTATGGAGCATCCATCCCTCTGGCTCGGGCCTTGGACCCTGAAGCTGAGGTCCTGTTGGCGTATGAGATGAATGGGCAGCCTCTGCCTCGTGACCATGGCTTTCCTGTGCGGGTGGTGGTTCCTGGTGTGGTGGGTGCCCGCCATGTCAAATGGCTGGGTAGAGTGAGTGTGGAGCCAGAGGAAAGTCACAGCCACTGGCAGCGGCGGGATTACAAAGGCTTCTCTCCATCTGTGGACTGGGACACTGTAGATTTTGACTCAGCTCCATCCATTCAGGAACTTCCTGTCCAGTCAGCCATCACAGAGCCCCAGGATGGGGAGACTGTAGAGTCAGGGGAGGTGACTGTTAAGGGATATGCATGGAGTGGTGGTGGCAGGGCTGTGATCCGGGTGGATGTATCTCTGGATGGGGGCCTAACCTGGCAGGCAGCTGAGCTGTATGGAGAGGTACAGCGCCCCAGGAAAGCCTGGGCCTGGTGTCTATGGAAACTGCAAGCCCCTGTGCCAGCTGGGCAAAAAAAATTGAACATTGTTTGTAAGGCTGTGGATGACAGCTACAATGTGCAGCCAGACACCGTGGCCCCAATCTGGAACCTGCGAGGTGTGCTCAGCAATTCCTGGCACCGTGTTCATGTCCATGTCACCCCATGAGAGCATGGAATGGAGCCATCTACACCCCAAAACCACCTCAACCTCTTACCCCACCCTTCCTTTGGCCTCATTGCCACAGAAAAACCTTCCCCTCCTCTCCACTTCTTGGATTACAACCCTGCACTAGGCCTTCCATACCACACATATTGCACATTTCCCAGGCACCCTCCCTCCTTTGACCCTATGTAACATATCCCTCCTGGCCTCTGACTTTGTGCCGGGAGGTGAGAGCTGTTGAAGAAAGGGGCCTGAAGTCAGAGAGTAATTCTGGAGACAAGCACTGTCTATTTTCTCTCTATCCCACCTCCACTTCTAATGCCTATTGCCTTATTTTGCTTTTCTTCTTGGATTCTTCAATGTGTGTGGTATGTGTAAGAAAACTATAAATGCCACTTACTACTGCCTTTTTTGGGTGCCAGGGGTTTGTGAAGAGAGCAAGGGGTGCAACCCTCTTTCTTTATAATTCCACTTTTCTAAATACATCAATAAAGTGTTTAAGATTATGACTCTTAGGCGTCTTGGGCCTGGGGAGTGTAGTGACACTAGCCCAGAATAA